CAGGGGAGGAGAGGGGTTCAGAACTGACCAGACGGCCCGTCGGTAGATGACTGGCATCCAATAAACTCAAATCGGAGGCTGGCTGCCCGCCCGTTGTTGTCCTGGTCTGTGATGTACAGCCGGATGTATCGCGCCACCTGGGGGGAGGGGATGTCCAGTGTCTCGTCTGACAGGCTGGGGTCAGGGCTCATCTGTGGCCCGGGAGGGAGGGGGGGGGATAGAGAGAGATATAGTGGGTTAGTGGTGGGTGGTTGGGGGTGGGGTAGAAAGATAGAGCGTTAGTGACTAGTCCCAACTCACCAAATGTTCGGGTACCTTATCTTGTCTAATCTTATCTTATCTTATCTTACCCGATCTCAACCCATCTCATATCCTCTCCTCTCTTCTAATTTCATACCATCTCAACACATTACATCTCACCATATCTCACCCCTTCTTATCTCATCTCATCTCACCCCATCATATCTCATTTCATCTCATCTCATCTCCTTTGCTTTTATCTCATCCTTATCTCATCTCATCCCATCTCATCTCATTTCATCTGCTGTCCTTTCCTCTCATCTCCACTTCTTTCATCTCATTTACCCCATCTCATTTCACCCCATTTCACCCTGTCTCACCTCATTTCTTCTCATCTCACCCCATCTCACTTCTACTCACGCCATATCACCCAATCTCATCTTAGCTCATCTCATTTCCTCTTAACCCCCGCGGGGTAGTGCCACTGGCTGAAATGTCTTTTGCCCATTCCCAAAGGGGGGACATATCTCGTTCATGCATAGTAGAATTGTAAATGGGCGGACTCATGTCACGCTCATAACTGTGCCTGATCTACAACAGGGAACTGCTGTTTTTTTCTTTCCTGATCTTTACAATTTACTGTCGTCATTTTCCCCTCTACTTCTTTTGTATGTTTGTCACACTCTTGTGACCTGCTATTTCCGGGGTGCCTTGATAGTCAAAGCAGACCTTGTGCTGTTGAAGCAAGAGAGGTGAGCAGTCTAAGTCTGATTCCCTGTTGACACCCACCCCTTGGCGCTCATATGACCTTATGCAGTTGCGAGCGCCGTAAAACCCTGTACTATCTAAAAAGAAAAAATTCCTCTTATCTTACCCCCAGTCTCACCTAATATCATCTCCTCTCATCTCCCTTCCTTTCATCTCATTTCACCCCGTCCACCCACCTCTCCCCATCTCATTTCACCCCATCTCACCTCACCTCATCCCCCCCATCTCATCTTATCTGATCTCATTTCACCCCATCTCACCTTTTGTCATATCTCACTACTGATCACGTTCTCTATTCTCATGTCCCACCATCTTACCGCATCACATCGCATCCCCCCCCCCCCCTTCCACCTCATCTCACCCCACGTCACCCCATCTCATCTCACAACTGACCACATTCTCCGGGTACTTGACCCAGGCGACCCCGTCGTTGCTGTGACCCACGGCCATGGCGGTGACCTTTGCTGACCCCGTCTGCTGCAGCTGGACCTTGCTGACCAACATCTTGTTGCCGAAGTAAACCTGGAAGTACCGCTCTTTTCTCACCTGCCCGTTGTGCACGAACGGACTCCAACCTAGGGAAAGAAAGGGGGGGAGGGAAGGGGGGGGATAGTGAGGTTTTTTTTAGGTTTTAGTAAGAGTTTACAGTGGGGCAGTATGAAGATCTACTGACCATAGGGAAGAGACGAAAATTAAAATGGTATTTGCATGTCACAAGATCCACAGGACTTGCCAAAATAATCCTACAAGGAACCTTACATGGAAAGAGAACGAGAAGAAGGCAGAGAAGGAGATGGGAGGACAACATTACAGAGTGGACAGGAAAGACGATGGGTGACAATCTGAGGAAAGCAGAGGACAAAGATAAATGGCGAGCGCTGGTTGTCAGACGCAGTGGTGCCCCAACGGTTGCCTTAACCACGGGATAGAAGAAGAGGAAGAAGAAAGTAAGAGTTTTAGGGCACTTGCAACACAATACGGTCGTAATACAAGTGCTGAAGAATAGAGGAGTTACAAGACAGTAAAATACAGAAAAAGGAGGGGAGATTAGGACGACTGATGTTTGTTGATAGGAAAGAAGGAGCAATTCACATCAGAGCACCCGCCAACCCACCCACAGGGGAGATAATGTGGGGTTATGTGGCGGTTTGGGGGGGGGGGTAGTAGCAAATTATCCGTTCTGGTCACTTGGCGCAGTTCTGTGATAGGCCCCAGAAGTCCGTTGTAGTCACTCTCCTGCAAGCTCTATGCGCTTCACAATATTCTATAATAATACCACAGCAGACCTAAGAGCATTTTGAAACAACCTTAACTTCCTGGGAAGCGTACAGTGCAAGCTGGCATTTAAAATAAGATAAGATATTACTTTATTATCCCAGAGGGAAATTTTTCTTGGCTGTACAGGACCGTAAAAACACATGCAAGTATACATAAGAAATTTAAATGATATAAGTATACATAAGAAATTTAAATGATATATTACTCTCATTAAAATTCACTATGAAAAGAGAAGTAAAGCTGAGAAAATGTACGTATTACATCATAATAATATACATCATTCAACCACATGCAGGAATTAAATTACAAGACCTTTGAGGTTATATATAGACACATACTCTAAAGAGCAACGCACATCTATGCTCATTCTGATAAAAGCCTTGCTAGACGGTAAAAAAATACGTGTTTTATATCTTTCTATCTTTGTTTTTGGAGGTACATATCTGCCGCTGCGTGATCTGACAATTTGCGTGGAAAGGGGTGTGATGGGTCGTTTATAATGATTTTTATCTTCTTTATACATCAATTCTAGTAAAATCATATCGAGAGATCTTGCTTGCTTTCTTAATGGTTCTGTCAAATATTTCTTTATCTTTCACCCTACAATTCCCAGCCCAGCAGCAAAGACAAAATAATAGCACGCTTTCAATCATAGAATGTTATAAAAGGGAGTCCAAAACACGGAGATCTCTAAGAGCCTCGTCGACACTGAGACGCGCTAACAACGGACATACTGACAAGATCTTTCGCTGTTTATAAGGACACAACGTCGGGCCCGCGGCTCGGACCCCCGAACCCCCTAACCCACAAACCTCTACAACATGAACAACGAACTATACAACCGTTGGGGGTTCTCGTGGCCTAGAGGTTAAGGTATTCGCCTCTCATTCAAAGGTCCTGTGTTTGAATCCGGGTGGCGACGGAAATAAGAAGATTATTTCCTTTCACCTTCTTCTTGCTCTCTCGCAATGATTTGTCGTCCGCTTTCGTCTCCACTTTCTGCCCCCACCCCCTCACCTCCTTTGCCCCCCCTCCTCTAGGCTCCTGACTCTTTCTTCAGCCTTTCCACTGCTTCTCCTTCTATCCTTCATACTGTTGTCTTTCAACCACACCCCTGATCTTCTGGTAGGAAAGATCTACACCTAGCCCTCTCGGATAAGGGCGAAAAATCTCGGAGGTCCAGTGAGCAAGTTGCGCACGATAAAGACCCCTTGGCGGTCTAATGTCGATAAGAGTAGGCTTCAGCCGCCACCCGGGCAGAAGTCAAAATTTCCTACCACAATAAAAAATGTTTAATGTGTTCCGCAAGCTGATATGACCTTATGCAGTTGCAAGCGCCGTAAAACACCCCCCCCCCAAAAAAAAAGACAACAAATAATAATAATAATAATAATAATAATAAATAGCATTTGTATAGCGCATGTCCCCACTCGAAAGCAAGCTCTATGCGCTTTACACTATATTATTACCCCAGCAGACCATAGAACACTCCGAAACATTCTCAGCTTCCCGGGAAGCGTACAGTGCAAGCAGCTGGTTAAGTACTCAAACACTAACAAACTGACAAGATCTTTCACTGTCTATAGCTGGGTACCCATTTTCACCTGGGTGAAAGGGGGGGGGGGGGAATTCGTGAAAAGTACCTTTCCTAAGGACACAACGTCGGGCCCGAGGCTCGAACCCCCGAACCGGCAACCTCACGATTACGAGTCCGGTAGCCCAACAAACTAACAAACAAAAAAACACCCCCGGGGCAGTACCATTGACTGTAGTGTCTTTAGGTCATTCCCAAAGAGGGGACATTTCTCGTTCAAGCACAGTAGAATTGTAAATGGGCTGATTTATCAATGTTACGCTCATAACTGTGCCTGATCTACAACAGGGAACTGCTGCTTTTTCTTTCCTGATCCTTACTATTGTCATTTTCCTCTACTTCTTTTGTATGTTTGTCACTCTCTTGTGACCTGCTATTTCAGGGGCGCCTTGATAGTCGAAGCAGACCTCGTACTGTTAGAGAGATGAGCAGTCTTAGTCTGATTCCCTGTAAAGATTTCTCTGTTGACACCCACCCCTTGGCGCTCATATGACCTTATACAGTTGCGAGCGCCCTAAAACCCTCTACTATAAAAAAAAACCAAAAAAACAAACAAACAACAAAAACAAAAACATCACAAGAGTCCAGGCAGTAGACCGCTGGCGCCACCTACCGGTGACATCATTGAGCCGGCCCTTCGTCGGGCCTTTCCCTGATAAGGAGTAGTGCGAGCTGCTTATCTGGCAATTCTGTATGACGCCGCTGGCCATTCCCAGAGGGCCCGGGGTACATCCGGCTGTGTGACGTCACAGACAGAACGCATTGCATCATGGGTCAGGTTTTTTATGATGCGTGTGTGTGAGTGGGGGGAGGTGTGTGTGTGGGGGGAAGGGGGTGTTGGTGTGTGTGTAGGTATTTGTGTTTGTGTGTGTGTGCGCGTTTGTAATGGTGTTGGTGTTTGTGTTGTGTTTGTGCGTTTGTGTGTGTGAGTGCGTAGGTGTTTGTGTGTGTGTGTGTGTGTGTGTGTGAGTGTGTGTGTGTGTTTTTGTATATATGTGTGAAGGTGTTTGTGTATTTGTTGTGTGTGTATTTGTTTGTGTATGTGTTATCTATATTTGTGTTTGTGTATGTGTTTTTGTGTGTTGGTGTTTGTGTGTGTTTGTGTGTGTTTGTGTGAGTGTGTAGATGTATGTGTATTTGGTGTGTGTGTGTGTGTGTGTGTGTGTGTGTGTGCGTGTGTGTGTGTGAGTGTGTGTTTGTTTGTGTGTGTAGGTGTTTGTGTGTGTGCCTGGTTCAGTCATGTTAACATAACAAATAGGTTTGTAGCTATTATTATCATTATCATCATCATCATCATTATCATTTTTTGGTAAGCAGGGTAGGAGGGAGAGTCTTGTTTTAATTTTAGACAAAAATAAAATAACAATATAAAATGTTTAAATTTGTTTAATAGCTCAACGTTTCGCCCTGTGGGCTTCCTCAGGAGCAACTGAGAGAAAAACTAAACGAGCGCTGTATAT